TTTCTTTTCTCTCTCTTTTTTTTTTTTTTTTTTTTTTACCTTAAACATTTAATGGTAGAATGCTTGATATAATATTTCAACCATTTTAATCAAAAGAAAATCTCACCTTTAAATTAACATAATTTTCACCAAAATTTTTCTAATCTATGCCTTTTTGAACTTACTACAAGATACATGGATTTTTACAAATCAAGCCAAAAATAAAATAAAAATTTTAGGGAATAAATTTTATTTATTAAAATTTGATCCATTCATAACCATCAATAAAGCTAAGTGAAATAAAAGGCTTAGCTTCTTGTTCAGTTAATTCTCTACACCATGAAACTCTTCCTGCAAAACTTGCCCCTGGTCCACTACATTTATATTGCCCATAAAATACAGTCCTGTCCAAAAATAAATTTTAAAAAATAACAATAATTAATAATAATAAAAATCGACAAAACAACATATTCAATGTAATTCTACGAGTGAGATCTAAAGAGTGTGATATTTACGAAGATAGAGATACCAATAGACCTTCAACTCAAGAAACACACATATTAGACGATAACCGTAGTGAAAGGAACAACGAGTAATAATAAAATTGATGAAGATGGTAGAAAAGTACTAATAGTAATGTAATAATAATACTCCATAAACAAATACAAAGGGAATTAAAATAAAATAAAAAAAGTATCTGCATGAGGAGACCGGCCTGTCTATGATAATTAATGAATGATTAGTGTTTAAGCATAATTAATACATTGTCTTCATGCATGAAATCATTAATTATTTCCAATTAAGCTAATTAACCCCTTTTTTTTCATTATCGTGCATTACAGTTAGGATTATAGTTGATAATTTAGAATATACTTAGGTTCACATGGAAAGATGAAACTTTTCAACAGTAGATAATAGATGTGACCATATCTACTGACTACTTTCGACTCGAATTATATAATAAGTGAAAGTTTATATAGTCGACCTAACAAAAAATAAAATATGAGATATAATTTGTATATGGAGATAGTGGAATATTAGTGAAGGTAGTGGCTATGCTGGAAAAAGTGTGTTAATATGACAAATTTCCAATACCATAGTGTGTATATATAGATATATAGGTAACAGATAAAAAGGACAACACCGTCCCATGCTTACTATATATTATAACAAAAAGTTAATTTTTTAATTTTATTATAATTTGTGGACTTATAAACTTAGCCAAACTTTAGTCTATAGTTTATAGTTTGGTTGCTTTTTGGTAATTTTCGCAAGAAAAAATAAACTTATCTAGGTTCTAGATTCTTTTCTTTAATGAAAAAGTGTAAAGCTATCCATAGCTCAAAAGGTTTAATCTTTTTTTAAAAAATAAATAAATTAGGTAAGGACTTGCACTATCTTTTGAGTGGTAGTAAAAGGTAAACTAAAATAAGGTTTGGATCAATAAACATATCATGATTCTATTTTATTTTATTTTTAGATATATCCAATTTGTTTTTAAGAGTTTTTTTTATCTGGTGTTTAATATTTATATTGGAGTCAAGATTAATTTAGATTCACATCGTGTAAGGCTATTAAGGGGGAAACACTCTACCAACATTTTTTCTATTCATGTCTCAAATCTGACACCTCTCTGATTACAGATGGAGAGATACTATTGAAAGCAATGAATTCATTACTTGTAATATGTTGGATACTCTTAATGGTACGAAGCATTTTGAGTAAAAATATGCTAATTTGATTCAAAACAGACAATATCAAATCATGTTATAAGTATCTTTAGATTGTTATAGCCCAACAAAATGTACTCATATGAAACTATTTACCACGAAAAATCCCTTATTAACCTTATCATTCGGATGCAGTAGCAAATCTAGAATTTCTAGAACTTGTATGCACCACTAAAAAAAGAAAAAAGAAGTATTTAATGGAAATTGATCCTTTGTCATCTAGGTAAATAACTCAAGCTTCAACTTAGTACACTATCTAATTAATCTTCTTGTAGCATAAGTGTCAGTAAATAATTATATATATACACAAAATATTTACTTTTGCACAAAAATTACGAGTTCACATGTCCCTAGTAAGATTTGCAAATTATTCATAACTAAACGATGTCACATAAAATGAAACGAGAACTTACATTTCTCTAAGGGGGTCACCCCAATTATGCCATCCTTTAGGTATGATAATGTTGTCCATATATGTGTAAGCAAAGATGACCCTTGAGAAAGGACCCCATGCCCTACCTAGGTACAATGCACCTGAACCTGTGACCTTACAGTTCACAAAACTAAATCCAGTGTCCTCCAACATACTGCTCCTTCCTTGTGCTGTTACTGCACCTGTCACTTGTGCTATTGCATGCAAATGACATCCCTACAACATAACAAAAAAACTCACATGATTTTTAATCACATCGAGTTTACGTTATATGCACTGACATATATATATGTATCTAAACAATTATTTGTACAATTTTAAGAGGTTATAGATGTGTATGTTGTTCATTCAATTATATATAAGGTGCAGAAATAACTAAAATTGAAGACGAAAAGTATGAAAAAACATGTTGTAGCGTTTATTGAATAAAAAAATTGTTTATGTTACTGAATTTAAGTTGTATGTACTGACATAGTGACACGTACATAAACAATTATATGTACAATTTAAGATGTTATATAGCAAATTGGAAAAGATTTGTACATGTTGTTCAGGTCGATTATATATAAGATTTAGAAATAGTTAGAATTGAATGGAGAAAATAGGTTAGGCTCTATATGAAACTATTCGACTCGTTACAGAATTTCAAATGACAAATTATATGGATTTCATGTAGTAAAAACTAAAGGGGACGGACATGCTATATCTGAAACGTATGAGATATAGTAAATGTCACAAGTACAGACAGATTCACAAGCAAAAAGATCAAAAGTGCACAATTTAAAAAATTGAAGTTCGAATGTGCTTAATTATAAATATGTAGGAACCAAAATCAGAATTTATCAATATTTCAAGGACTAAAAGTGAAAATTTCCTTAGTTTCTAAAAGAAGATCTTAATTCACACAAATATCCAGTCAGATTTACTATTCATAACATTTCATAGCTGATATATATATAAATTATATACTGATTATACATATATGATTCATTCGTCAACTATTTTTAATTTAATCAGTTGAGTGAACCGCAAAAATCGAAAGAAGTGATTAATTACCTCAAAGAAAGAAAGTCCATTGCCAAAGATGAAATCCACAGAGCCTTCAATATAACAATCTTTATAATAATGTCTACCCAAATGATCATAAAGTGTATCTTGTGCCCCCAAAAATTTGCACCCTACAAAGGCTGCTGTATCTGCTGATATTCTAAATGCTACTGCTTGTTTTCCTATGGCTCCTGGTGGTGGCACTGGTGTTGTGTTCTGCATTTTAATCACGAGTTTAAATTTTATGTACTAACGATAATGTAAAAAAATAATCAAAATGTAGATGAATGCATGTTGAATTCTTTAAAAGTAGCATAGTTTTGGAGGATTCGAAACGGGTGCAGGCAACATTAGTTGAGGATTGACCACATGATAGACTAGTTTTTGAAGTTAAATTGAATTAGTTGTCATTTTTTGAGAGTCAATTTGACTAACATTTGAAGTTAAATTGAATTAAATTAATATAATATTTTATTATTAAAATTTATATATTTAAAAACTATATGAAAAGTACTACCAGTTGCAATTTGTCTAATGTCAATATGGTGAAAAAAAAATTAAAATATTGATCAAAGTTAATATAGTTTGACTCCCAAAAAATAGCAACATGACAACTAATTTAGAACGAAGGGTGAAATAAAATTGCACATATAATGATATAAATGAAACAAGAGCCCTGAGGTAACTAATAAAGTTGTTATCCTGTAATCAAGAGGTCAGATGTTTGAACTGTTGAAAAAAGTTACATAAATTAGACTTTTATGATATGATACTTTCTCGAACACCGTGCATAGCGAAAGTTTAGTTGGATTCCAACAAAAGAGAAATGGAAAAAAAGATAAAGAATTATGTTTTGTACCTTAAAAGTAATATTTTTGGCTTGGAAATAAGGTGAATTAACAGCAAAAGTAGCTGAACCAAAAGTGCCAAGGGGTTTTCCATTTGGGCCAATAGTTTGTGCTGTATCTCCATATTGAATTATTGTATTATCTGCTCCTTCTCCTTCTATGGTTATAAATGATTTAAATGGTGATATATTTACTTTCTCCCTGCAAAAAAATACAAAAATAAATAAATCAATTTATAATAAATAAAAATACATTATCTTAAAGAAATATAAAGGCCAACTCGAGCCACTAAGCTCTCATAATGCACGGGTCTGAGGAGTGGTCGGATCACATTGAGTCTTATGTGTTCATGCAAGAGGTTGTGTTTTGTAGTTTAAACTCATAATCTTTTAATTATGCAAAAGACAACCTTTATTGTTGAGTCGAGGATTATTTTGAAGAAATATATAGAACTTTGGATTGAAAAGACATTATTTTGAAAAGAATATGAAAGATAATTCGATGCATTAAGCTTTCGCTATGTGCAGATCTAAAAAAAAAAGGTTTGATCATATTGAGTTCTATGTATCTAGAGATTGTGTTTGCTGCTTAAACTCGTAATCTTCTTATCACACGACAATAATTTAACTACTCATAGAAAAGAACATTTTGTATGTGATCACAAGACTATAAAATGACAAAAAACAAAGGACAGGTACAAAAAGCAAAATTCTATTCATCACACAATTCTCCATGAATTGACAATTGACCACAAATGTTGAGTTTGGGACAAAACATTTATCCAACATGTGAAGCTATGAAAAGACAGATCAACAAAGTAAAAAATGACATTACACCAAAAGACAAAACACTTTTTTGAGGATAAAAACCTAAAACTCAATAAATTTACCTTTTGCTAAATTTTATGTCTTTCTTTTCCCTCTTATTTTGGAAAAAAAATTAGTACAAAATCAATGGAAAACCACATAATGTAGATGTATCAATAGCATATTCAATTTCAAGAATTGAAAAAAGGAAAACCATAAACTTACACGCAATTTAATTATTACTTAATAAAAAAAATTGAGATATGCATAAACTGACTCAAACAATAGACATGTATCAATGACAACCACTCATCCAACTAACTAATTTCCAAAATTGAAACAATAAGAGTCAGTTTACACGCACCTCAAATTACTCATGAAATAATCAATATCACTATGATAAAATCTGCCTTCCAAATTTGATGGGAAATTAGAAAAGTTCTAGTAATGTGTATGAACACAAACTGACACGAACACCAATGTTATAAAAAAAATATAAAAAAACATGCGACTTACGTGTAAATTCCTGCATGGATTTTAATAACAACTCTAATAAGATTGATAAATGGAAGAGAATCAATGGCTTCTTGAATTGAAGTAAAATCTCCATGAGAAGGATTTTTGTCAACAATAAGTGTATATGAAGGGAACAATTTATTTTTTGCTGTCTTAAAAAGTGAATGTTTTAAGCTTCCAACAAATTGTACCCATTGTATAAATTGTTGTTCAGAATGTTGAACTTGTGTCATGTTCACATTTAATTGCTTCTTTTTTGGCCTAAGACCTTTTGTGTGACAATAAATTAAGTCAAAATTGATGAGAAGAAGAAGAAAAATGAGAAGAAGAAATGGTTTAAAATTTGGCATTGTTGTTATAGGTAGTAAATTAAAGTACTATCTAGCTATCAAATGAGAATAAAAAGAGGAAAAAACAAAAAAAGTGTTTAAAGAGAGAGATGTTTGAAATGTATTGCAAGTTGGCTATATATACATAAATTAGATGTGTGATTCTATGTGTGGTTTTGGGGAGTTCAAGTGGTTTTGAGTAATGAGTCATATATCATTGTTTTTAAAAAAATAAAATGATAGCGGTGTTTCGATCAGTTTACGGGTATTTTGACTATTTCTTTTTAATATTTGTTATATTTTTTTAATAGTTTGGGTATCAAATAACTATGTCTATTGAGATGTAAGCAAATAAATTGAAATCACCTATGATTTTACGTATTTATGTTTGCACTAAAATTATCGGATAACTCTATGGACTATGATAATGTGTACTTATTAAGCATATAAAAAAAATCATTTAATCCTTTCGGACAAGTTTATGTGATCTTATTTCCGTTTTAGTCGTTAAAAAAAAGGATATGATCGTTCTCTTATTTCAACTTCATGTTTTACTCTTAATTACAAGTTTTTATGGTTACACAAATGTTATGGTAGTTAGCTAGACAACAATTTCAAAAGTCTTACAACAATAAAAATGTTATGACATATATAAGACCAAATTTTTTTTTAAAAATCATTTCTTTTACTAAATTTCTAGTTCAATGAAATAGGTTCATATAAATTGATTCAAATAGAAGGAATAATATTTTCTACATTATCAATATTTGAATCACGATTTGTCATGATTTTCCTCCACTTCATTGAATGTTGGATATACCCTTAAGGATTATGACACATATAGTTTTTTCCATGATACAATTTTTGTTAAAATATTATAATATATATATATATATATAAACTAAATATTGAATTCCCTTGTATGTTTTCTTTTTATTTTATAGTTTTAATTTATTTTAATAAAAATTCTGACTCCGTTATTATTGGACAAATTGAGAATAATAATGAGTCATCTTTTAGGTAGAAAGTGGTACAAATTGGAGAATCATGAGTCATGACATAGGATTGAGAGTGTCACGGGTGCTTCCACTGAAATGAATGCAAGAAAAGTTGTGGGTGGGTGGGTTGTGGGTAGGGTGGTTTATAGGGGTGGTGGGATGTTCACAAGAAAGAATTTTAGCAACAATTTTTTTATTATTTAATGAAGAGAGAAGTATTGAAAATACATCTAAATTTGACGTGGATAATTAGTTTCATTTCCGAACTAGTAAAATTAGTGACAATCTTAAAAACAATTTTTTACTTGACTAACTGAAATTAAAATATACGCTCGACCTTGCAACATGAGTGAAATAGTCTCCTGATTCTCATTTGTTTAGGAGTGTTCAACACTCCTCTCGGTTTTTCATTAAACAAACTCATGCTTTTACAAGAATTTAAGACCACTTGATATGTTATAGGGCAGACCGGAGGTGTATCTAAGTTTAATTAGTCAAATAGTAGAGTGTTTTTAAGACTATCAATAGTTTAAGGACGAAACTAATAATTTTCGTCAAATTCAGTGGTATTTTTAATACTTGTCTTTTTTTAATTAATTGATATATATAAAGAACTCTTTTTTTTACCTTTTTTTTTTTTGCTTTTTTGTTGTTTGTTAGCTCCCGTGAGTGTTCTTTCTGTTGTTGTATGTATGGAAAGTGAATATATTCCCATGAGTAAAATGATTTTATGTACTTTTATTTATGTATTTTTACTATTTTAGCTTAAAGTAATTGCCTTTTCATAATTAATTAAATAGACACTATACAGTAAAATAACAGATTAATCAAGTCTCCTGCATAGTACATTTTATTGCTTAGTTATGGAATTTAACTTATATTCACAAAACGTTTTATCAGAAACATTAGGAAAATCTCATCAAATCTTATATTGTACTAGACACTAAAAAATAACACAAGTTACGCTTCAAAAGTTGCACAAAATCTTGTAATAGATCAAAAATAACAAAATAGTAAAGTTACAACACCAAATACGAGTCCCCGTCAAATCAAACAAAAGTAATTTGTTAAATATTTTATGGGGACCAAAATTATTTACTTTTATTAAATTTAACGGACCAAACTAGTCATGGATATATTTAAAGGCCTATTTTAACCTACCACAAAAAAAAAAAAAGTGATTAATTTTGTTATTATCTAGCATGATGCACAAAAAGAGAAATTCAAATGCTAATGGATGATTAGAAAAGAACAATAATTTTGGAATATAGTAGTTGGGAAAGTAAAAAAGACTAGGATAAAGTACCCTAGGATATTTATTGTAGGTATTAAATAATTTAAAAGGTACTGTTCTTTTATTAAAAAAAAAGTTTCAAATTGCGATTAATTCAAATTTGTATAGTATAAGACTTATTAAATGGAGGACACTTTTCTATTTGGATATTTTTTTATTTTCAGATTCAAATTTGAAATCTTTAATATTTGAAGACTTGAAGATTCATTTTTAGTCCAACACAGTTTTAAAGATAAAACTTCAGTGTGAAATAAATGAACTTTGCATGTCTAAATTCTTTTAAAATTATTAAATATATCACTTGATACGAACGACTTTTATTTTTTCGTTGGTCTACAACCTTGACCTAACGATCAAGCTCGAAACACAACTAGATAGGCAATTAGTGAGGAGAGGGTTGGCATTTTAACTTTTAAGTATAATTTAAAATTATCGTCAAGGTTGGAGCTCCATTAGGAAGTAAAATCTAAATCCAGATAATTATAAATCAAAAATTTATTAATGAAGGACAAAGTACAAAAATTTAATAATTTTTCTAACCCTAAATAAGACCTTTAATTAAATATTGCTTATTTTTAAACTATTTTGGAGAAAGGAGACAAAGTATTGGAATGATATTAGATTCTAAATGAAGTAAGGAACTTATTTATTAGATTATAAAAAGAAAATATGTATACTAAATTTTCTTTATGTGTAAAGTTTGGACTGGATCACAAAGATTTATTAATTAGATTATAAAAAGGATAGCTCAATGAACTAAGCTTTTGTTATACCTAAAAAGTTCGAGAAAACATCGAATCATAAGAATTTATCGATTAAATTATGTTGTTAAGATATATGAAATTGAGAACAAAAAAAATACCTTTTTGTGAATTTTTGGAAGCCAATCATTTCTCTTGACTCTTGGAATTATCTACAAACTACTTTCACGGGTGGAAAAAAAATATACCAATCAAAGATATATATAAAAAGTATATATATATTTGGCATTTTTCATAAAATAAAACATCAATTTGAAAAGGATATCCATTGAAAAAAGACTTCCACTATTGTTTCTTTTGCCACCATATGCAGCACTAAAGCAAATTAAAATAATTAGAGTCGGTTTGGATTAGCTGATAAATTTTAAGTGCTGGAAATTGACATATCCGATTAAACGTAAAGGGATACGTATATTCCATTACAACCCTTGGTATCTACCTGGCTACGCATCTTGAATATAGGATTATTAATGGAGAGATGGAAAATTCAGTGGCTTAATCTTTTTTAGTCTATGATTCTTGATATATTAAGAAATCAAGTCAAATTTTTCTTAATTTATTAAGAGTTTATAGGGAAAAAACAGGTTATTTATTGCTAAATCAGAAAAATGTATAATGAAATTTAATACTTAGAATGTATTTTTATTATTTTATTATTTAAGAGATTGAGTCTTCAAGCTGGACAAAATTGGGCCTGATATATATGTTTGCTTGTATTGAGCTTCATCCATAATATTGGGCCTTGATGGATCATCAAAAGTTTTCAATAGATGGGCTTGCCACAGCCCACAAGTTGTAACAATGACCAATAGTTTAGTACAAATATCGTATTGAATTGTGTGATCAATCTAAAAGTTTGATTTATTAAATAAAACAACACTCTTTATCATTTAATATATATATATATATATATATATATTAAATGATAAAGAGTGTTGTTTTATTTAATAAATCAAACTTTTAGATTGATCACACAATTCAATACGATATTTGTACTAAACTATTGGTCATTGTTACAACTTGTGGGCTGTGGCAAGCCCATCTATTGAAAACTTTTGATGATCCATCAAGGCCCAATATTATGGATGAAGCTCAATACAAGCAAACATATATATCAGGCCCAATTTTGTCCAGCTTGAAGACTCAATCTCTTAAATAATAAAATAATAAAAATACATTCTAAGTATTAAATTTCATTATACATTTTTCTGATTTAGCAATAAATAACCTGTTTTTTCCCTATAAACTCTTAATAAATTAAGAAAAATTTGACTTGATTTCTTAATATATCAAGAATCATAGACTAAAAAAGATTAAGCCACTGAATTTTCCATCTCTCCATTAATAATCCTATATTCAAATTGGTGACAAAATTTTCACCAAATACATCTCAGAATAATAAAGGAAAGCAAACAAATTGTCCCATTAAGATATTCTAACATTTATTTTTATTGTTATAAGGATTATAATTAGATCTTTAAATGATTTTTGATTTTTTTTTCAAACATTAATAAGAATAAGTCAAGTCAATATACTTCATGGAAGATGTATCTAATAAAGTGATTGTAGTGTGTCCTCATCAGCTAATTAAAATTGAGAAAAAAAATAGTGTTTACATCATCTATCGACCCAAGCCTGACACCTCTTGCGTCATGATACACACTTTGTAAGATTACATTATATGTGTTATTATTACGGAGGGAATAAACTTATTTGTCTAACGAGGACAAAAAAAATGTAAAATTCACAAATAATCACTTTTTCAACTGTTGTAATTACAAAATTGTCCTGTCATAGAGTTTCAATTTCAATATATGAAACTTGATGATATTATCTTAGAATTCCATAGTAGTGCGTCTTTCAAAGACATGATTGAAAAATGATTACTAAACGATATTTCTATTTAAAAATAAAGTCTAAAATGGTCTAAAATGTCCTTAAACTATGTGAAATGAACAAAAATGTCCTCAATTTTGTAGTTTGCCTCAAAAATGCCCTTGTCGTCAATATTTTGGTTCAAAAATGTCCTTGTAGTC